AAAGTGGTAAAAAGTTTCTTGTTCTACTTAGTTCCATGGGTAAAGGGTGGACAACCTTGTCCCACCCTTGTTCTAGTTTGTTCTAGTTAGTCCCACATAAAACCACACCAAACATAGGACAATTGTGTTCTGTCCTGTCCTGTCCCACCCTGTCCAACGTACCAAACGCACCCTTAATGGTTTCATAAATCATTAAAAGATAATTCTGAATCATTAAAAGGTAAATCTTGTTTGGTAAAGAAAAGTTTGTTTCTTAATGGTTCTAAAACCCTCTGAATGATTTTGTATCTTAGACCTCCCTTAACCATTCAGCGTTCTGATTTCATTGTAAACAATTATATTTTATTTTGCACTATATCATAAAAGTCTCTTAATCATTTTGTACCAAATCATTTAGTAACTGTTAAACATCCCCTAAGATCCAATATAACAAGGTATATATCATCACCTCTTGCACATAGGCTTTTGGTGAAAAAGGAAATTATGCTGAAAAAACGTAAGAAGAGATCTTCATATTTGGATTAATTCTAATTGAATATAAGCATTAATGAGGTACCCCAATATGCACCTGATCAATTTCCTTCTAAGGGCATGAGATTAAAAGTGATCAAGTGTTCAATTTTTTTTTACGTTTCTCATTTTAACTTCTTTTTTCACGTTATCTTTCGTTTATATACATATATATATAGATGAAAGATTACGTAAGAAAAAGAGTTACAAAGCCTAAAACCTAGTTAGAAATCAAAAGCAACCAATGATCGACTGCCACGAATCATGACAAACCCATGTTACTTAACTTCCTCACACAGCACACAAACTCAATTTGGATGTTTCCACTTCAATTATCCCTTTGTTCGTTGGAACTTCATCCATTTACTTTTGTTCCTTTCTTAACCTTTATTTTTAATGTAAAATTAATTTAATTTATTATCTATATTATATTATAAATCATTTGATAAAATCTTTTAAAAATAATTTTTATGCATAAAATACTGTTTATTGATGCATATTACTTAAAATTCAAGATTGCACATAAATCGTGCATAATTACGACTTATTAAAGTTCCATGTTTAAATTCGTATAAATAACTACTGATAAACATAATCAAATACAAAATTAACATGTCATTTTAAATATAAAAATCTAAAATATAATTTCGATAATCTTTGA